GGAGCCGAGGGCAGGGCGAGCACGGGCTGGGCCGGGGGAGGTTGTGCTGAGCCCCCCAGGCGGCTCCGGGTCAGGACGGGAGCGGGGTGGGGATGGGGGTTGTGCTGGCGGCGGGAGTGCATCTCGGAGGGTTTGTGGGCCACACAGTCTCGCCGGGCGGCCCAAAGAGGAAGGAGAGCTGGGGTGGCTGCAATGGGAACGCAGGAGCCTCTCCTGCAGCCCTTCAGCCCATCTGTGAGACCCCCGGGTCTTGCACTCCCAGCGAACTCGGTGTTTCATCCGTGTGGTTTTCATTGCTGGAGTGTGGCCTTAATGATTAGGAGTTGGGTTTGGTGGTCTTGCCCCTCACAGGGTGTCCACAGGGACAGGCTGAAACTGGGATGCCCAAGGGTGAGGTCGGCTCTGGAGGATGCAGGGAGAGGAGATGGGGAGGTCGGTGTCACCCACTGGCCAGGCTGAAACGTGGGGATCACCCGTTTCATTTACCTGCAAAGGCTGAAATAACAGGGGGCCCTGATGTTAATGAAGGGAAACCATGGCTGTTTTTCCCCTTGGCTTCTGACCAGCAGCCTCTGTGGATCAGTGTCCAACAGAAACACAAGGGCAGCTGCCTCCACCTGCATCACAAGGTGCCAGATAAGGGCTGGTGCTTTTTTGCTCCTGTAATCGATGCTTTGCTTGGAGAAGTTTGGAAAAAACTCGTGAGGAAGTTCCTCGTTGTGGAGCAGCAGATGGGGCACAAACAGGGCTGGGGAGGGCGGCGGGGGCTCCTCGTGGTGCCGGGGGAGGGGGAGGTGATGCAAAACCTGCGGTCCCAGCGTTTAGCAACTTCCCGTCAGTTGGGCTGGTCACGGTCCTGTCCCCTCCCTGGGGTGAAACCGGGAGATTTGGCATCTTTGGTCCACCCTGAGCGGGGAGGTGATGCTCTGCTCTTGTCCCTCAGTTGGCAGGGTGATGCCAGCTTGACCCAGAGCCATGTCCAGGTACCTGAAGCACTTCACGGTGGTGGGCGATGACCCCGTGCAGTGGAGCAACGACTACCAGAAATGGGAGGAGGAGGAGGACAATGGGGACAAGCAGCAGGACTCGGAGATCAAGGTGGAGCCCGCCAGGAGACACATCTCCTTCCAGGACATGATGAAAAAGCTCTTCAGCTCCCACAAGTTTCAGGTGAGGCAGAACAAGCCCAGGCCAAGGGCGGGTGTGGGATGGAGCTCAGGAAGCGAGGCTGAGCTCGTGAGCCCTGGCTGAGCTGTGCTGTGGGAGCTGAGCTGAGCTGCTCCCATGGGTGCAGGTGTTTCCTGAGCGGGGACAGGCCCCGGTGCCTCCGGGTCACTGCGGCACCAGCACGTGCTCCCCCTGTCTTGAGCTCCCCACATCAGGGGCTGGGAGGTGGTTGGGTTTATGGGGAGCCAGGTGGTTTCATGGGAGTGGGACTTTGCAGGAATAACCCACCATCCAGGGGGAGTGGGAGCAATGGAAAGCTCCATGAAACACAACCAGCTGAATCAGGGCTGTGGGTGTTGGGGTGTGTTCAGCTGTAAGGGCCACAATGGCTCCTCTTGTGGTCTGTGCTGGGAGGGGATTCACGTTGGTTCTTCTCCTCTGACAGATCGGGGTTGTCTGGCTGGTGATCCTGGATGCCTTGTTGGTTCTTGGGGAATTGCTCATGGACTTGAAAATCATCCATCCGGACAAATATAACATAACCCCAAAGGTAAAGTGTGGAGAAATGTCACCATGAACAGTGATTTCCCTCCCTTTGGTGGCTCAGACCCTCCCCTGGATAGGCTGGCTGGGCAAGGCAGGACCTGGAGCTCCAGCCCTGCCGACCTGATGGTCCCAGCACACAAAGGAGGGGCTCACAGGGGTGTGTGGGGCTGACCTGGCTCAGCTCACGCCAGTCCCTGCAGCAGCTTCGGGTTTCCTTGGGCTGCAGCAGAGCTGGATCACTCCCACCACCCTCCTCCTGCTCATCTTCACAGCTCCTGGACCAGTTCCCCAGCACCACAGGCTGCCACATACTCTGTCCTTTAGAGCAGAAGAAAAGTCCCCAGCCCTTCTCCCTGTAGAGCCCAACCAGACGTGCCCTCGAGCAGTGGAGGTTTTCCATCCTGCCCTGCTCGTGTGCACACAGGGGGGTTTCCCTCTTCCCACCTTCAGCTTGTGCTGCCTTTTCCCAGGTTTTCCACTACCTCTCCCTGTCCATTTTAACCATCTTCCTGGTCGAGGTGGGGTTCAAGGTGTTCGTGTATCGCCGCGAGTTCTTCCACCACAAGTTCGAGGTGCTGGACGGGGTGGTCGTGGTCGTGTCCTTCGTGCTCGACGTCGTCCTCATCTTCCGGGAGCACGAGTTCGAGGCCGTGGGGCTCCTGATCCTGCTGCGGCTCTGGAGGGTGGCCCGGATCATCAACGGTGGGTGAGGGGGTGTCCTGGGCCAAGGGCTGGATTTGTCACCTCCCCTCAATTACCTGGGCTCATGTCTTTGTTCTCTCCTCACACCCATCTGTGAGACCCCTGGTCCTGCTCTCCCAGTGAACTCGGAGTTCCACCCCTGTGGTTTTCCTTGCTGGAGTGTGGCCAGAGTCAGGCTGCAATTTCTTTGGAGCAGGGATAGACATTCCCCCTAAAAAACTTCATAATCTATTCCTCTTCACACCTCCTGGACCAGTTTCCCAGCACCACTGCCTGCCACACACTCTGGCTGTCCATCCTGGAGAAGGATGGCTCACATCCTAAGTTTCCACTGTAGGATCCTTCTGGCAGTGTTTTAACAGGGGAGCCCCTGTCTTCCTGCATCTGCTTCTACAGCAGAGTAAGATTTAATGCTCTGTTCTGCTTCTACTCCTCCATCCCCTCCAGGGATGCTGCAGGAAATGTCCTTGTCTCACCCTGGATCTTTCTTGCTCAAAGGTTTTACCATAAAAAGAGAAATAGAAAAGAAAAAAAATAGAAATCAGACTTAAGTGACTTTGCTGTGGAAATCGTAAATTGTTGCAAATAGATGTTAATTCAGAGTATAGCTGGAAACACTTTCTTCCTTCTTGGGGAAGGAATTTTGGGATTCCAAAAAATGTAGCAATGAGATTATCTCTAATTCCTGCATAAACCTCAGCCCCACTGCTGTCTGTGCCTCCAGCTCAGGTTTGGTGAGCGCTCTGTATTTGGCACAGAGGGATCAGAGGAGGGGATGGCTGGGGCTGTGTCTGTTTTCAGCCCTCACTGCCCTTTGGATGGGGAGAACGTGCCTGGTCGGCAGCAGCTGGAGGGAGGGAGGATGTGAGAGCAGCTTGTGGCTTCTCTCAGTTCAGAGTGAAAGTCAGAGAGAAACTGGATTTGCCTGCAGCCCTGGGAGCCACGGGCTCTTACAGCAGAAAACAGGGTTGCTGTTACAAGAAAATCCCTTTATCCTTGGCTGCTCCTGGTTTCCCCACCAGCTTCTTGCACTTGCTGGAGGAACAGAGGGAACAAAGGGAACGTGCCCCACGCTCGGGCGCCGTGTCTGTGCCTGGCACGGTTCAGTGCCCCTGGCAGGGACTGGGTTACACCAGCTGGGGACTGGTTGATGTTACCAGTGCAAATAATGCTTTGTCCCCTGAGCAATGAACCCCAAAACCCCAAACCTGCTGCCTGGAGCACGAGAAGCAGACACCCCCCGGTGCCTCCTGTGCGTTGTTCCGGAGGAGCCGTGTCGGGGAGGAGGAACAGGATGTTCTTCGTTCTCCCACCAGGCTGATTTATTTTTTTCCCCCCTCAGAAAAGGATGGCAAGAAAAAGCCTTTAGTGTGGGGGCTGAGTTCACATGTCATCACCTGATGGTGCTTGGAGAGAAGTGACACCTCTGCCGTGGTGAGACATGGCGTGTCCTTAGTGCAGCTGGGCAAGGTGAAGCCAAAACCTGGTGGATCTGAGGATGTGCCATGTCCTGTTCCACTGGGTTAAGCCTGTCCTGATCCATTGGGATGTTCCATGTCCTGTTCCCCCAGGCCACAGCAATCAGCTCCAGGGCACGAGCCCCAGGCTGTGCCCTGCTGTCAGAGCAGGTCCTGACTACACCTAAAACCTGCTAAAACACAACAAAGCTTCCAGCTCCATCCCCCCCAGGCTCTGCCAAGGGAGTACATTCAAATTCAGGATTTGAGTGACAGTCTGAGTGATTAATTCAGCTCTGCCTCTTCCCAGCAGAGTATCCCTATTCGAATCCCCCGGGTGGCTGATTTAAAACCCTCCTCATTAAGAAAAGCACTTGGGAAGGGTGGTTGGAAGATGACAGAACCTAAACTGGAGAGGAACATGTTTAACTCCTTGAGGACAGACCCTGTGTCCTGTTAATTCTGCTCGTGGCTGTTTTACAATGTAAAGCAAATCCCCTGGGAATTGTTCCACAGGAATAATTTTATCAGTGAAGACCCGCTCGGAACAACAAGTGTCCAAGTTAAAACAAGCCAACCTGAAACTTGCAACAAGGCTGGAACAACTGGAACACAGCTGTGTAGAGAAGGTAAAAAGCCACTTTTAATTTGAGTTTACCTGCCTGGGATCCTTGTGCAAGGCTGGCACTGTTGGAATGGTTTCCTCACTGGAAAGTGTGGGGTGCCCTACCCAAGTTCCCTGAGCTGCTCCTCCTCCAAGGAGTGATGTTTCTCTCTGTCCTACTTCCTTTAGCCAGGTTGTCCTGCTTTCCTGCAGCAGTGGGAAGATCTGTGGGAATCTGGGGAGCTATTTTAAGGATATTAATGATTTGACTTTCTGTCTCCTACAGGAGCAAGAAATCGAGAGGCTGAACAACATCTTAAAGCAGCACGGACTCCTCAGCCAGCCAAAGTAGGAGGCCAGTTTTCCAAGGTGGGAATTCTGCCTGGAGAGTGCAGTGTTGGAATCCACCAGCTTGACCTGAAAGGTTTTTCTGTCTCTTTACTTCCTCTTGCATTGTGTTGTCTATAAACATTTTCTATTTGACCACACTTTGATCAGACCTTGAGATTGCAAAAAGAGTTTTGCTGGAAAATTAATTACACGCAGTCCCTGTAAACAACAATTTTTTTCCCCTTTCTTGTACAGTTGTACAGTCAAAATTGCAAAATAATTTAATAAAGACACATCTTTACAAGCTACACACCCATAGAAGTACCACTTATTTAAAATAATTTCATTTTTTCTGTGATAACATTCTTTGTTTGCAACAGTAGAAATGATAAGAACTCAGGCTTGAAAAGAGAATTTCTCCTCCTCCAGCTGACTGTTCATGATCAGTACATCTCTTTGCCAACCATTCTTCTCATATTATTGGTAGTTCCTCATTTCTGTTGCTGCTTGTGCCACTTTGTTATTTATATAACATTTGTTTCAAAACCACCAACAGGCCGCTCCTTCCCTTGACAATCAAATCAGCCCCAAAATAGAGACAAGCATGTGCCACCCCACGTCAGACAGAGCCTTGTTCCACCAGCAGGTCCCAGGTCTGATACTGCTTTTCTCATCCCTTCTTCCCTTTTCAGTTCACTGGGCTACAAAGTTCTTTGTTTCCACAGCTCATAAATCAAGGTGTTAAAAGAACTGGAATATGTCAGAACAGATGTAGGTGAGTGGAACTGCTGGGAACAGTCAGGCTCCAGAAAAGCCATTAAGAAGCAAATTCTAAAGGACCAGGCTGGTGTTTGAGCACAACATGAGCATTTGCAGGTACTGGAAGGTCCCTGTGGAGACACTGTTTGATAGTTGGAGAGTCAGATTCGATGAGTGGGAATTCTGAAAGGTGTCTCCAATGGATTTAAGGCAGACTCAGCTGGAAGGGTCCCTGAGTTTTGCTCAAAGCATAACTGAACTGTTCAGATTTTTAAAGAAAGGTAATTAATTAGTGGTGTGGGGGAAATAGCCAGAAATATGTGGCTTATTCATGTATGGGGGTAGATAAAGCAGAGGCCTTATCTAATAGCACATGATTGCTTTAATTAGCAATTTAACTCTGCTGTTATGGGATAATGAAGCCTGGTTTCCTTTGGAGCTGTGCTGGGTCCCTTCCCCTCCTGCCCCCACAGGCAGGGAGCTGGGAACGGATCTGATGTGCTGGAAGGCTGGTGGCTGCACATGTGCTGACCAGCAAGTTCATATCTGGACCCTTTTTCCTCTCAGTGAGCTATAATTTGGAACTTTCTACTTAATGTGGGGTTTTTTAACCCTTCTGAGAACCCTCACAAGGTCTCACCCCTTCTCTCTTGGCTGATTTTAGCCCAGTTTATCTACAATTTAGATGAAACTCATGGCCCATCACAGTGACTGGATAAACCTTCAATGGAAAATCAGAAAAAGCAGAAATGTGGGGGGTTTTTTGATGAATGCTTACCTTAGACAAATGGGTAGAAAAAATCAAAGGGTAACTTGATGTTAATGGTGGGCCAAGCTTTATAGCCTGGCTCTGCAGGTGAGGAAATGTCAGTGAAAACAACAGAACTTGTTACAGGAATAGTCCTTTCCCTTCCTGAGGGAAGCTGCAATGAAAATACAAACAGGAATTAGCTTCAGCCTTCTGTTTGTATGACTGGTTTATTTGGTCTGGGTCATGTTTTCACCTGTCAGTTGTAAATTTTTTTTCCATATACAGTCCCATGTTTCTTTTCATTAATGATGTATGGATTTTTATTGAAGGGTTTTGGCAAGCAGCCACAGCTGTGTTTGAGCTGCAAGAGAATTGTTGGGTGGAATAAATGTGAAGTGCTGCCTTCAGATAAAGAGATTATCTGGGTCACTGGCACACAGGAAAACAAGCCCTTTGTTTTATCTTAAACCCTGTAATTTAATTACATACCTGCTTCAGTGTGGTGGTGGTGAGTGTTGCTGTAACATTCACTATCCTGGCTTGGGGATTGACCAGGGATCCATATTTAGTCCACTCCACTTCTATTCCAAAGGACACTGGAATTTGGCACGAGCTCTGCAAAGTGTTAGAAATCCTCTCATTGTCTGACTTACACAAAAGCCACTTCATTAATTAATTATTCTTGTTATTAAGGGGCAGGGTGACCCAGGAAGCTCTCTAGGGAGGCAGCAGAGGTGCTGCAGCCTTTGCTGCCCCTGCAGATTCTCCAAAAAAGTGACTCTGTACCTGCATTTCAGCAGGACTGTCCTGCCTCAGGCAGGATTTGGCTCCTGGTGATTGTGCTCAGCTGGGACAAAGTAGGAATATTGGTGGGACAGCAGAAAATCCTGGACTCTGCCAGGGCAGAATTTTGAAGCCAACAAGCTGAACTATTTTTAGGCATTTCTTCTTGAACTGTCACGTTTCTGGTGACAGAAATTACTCACTCTTTGGTTGCAAAAGCATTCAAGGCACCTATACACAAAGTGTCATCTCCTATGGTGCTTCAAAGGATTCTTGTTCTCTTACCCTGACCTGGTGCAAGAGGAGAAACAGTGATTCTGTTACTTCACTCTTTCAACCTCACCTCTGATGCTTCATCCCCTCTGAAGAGCAGGACTAAACTATGGCTAGAAGTCATTTTGCACCCAATATGTTGTCCTGAGCCATAAGAGGGTAGCAGCTTGATTCAAAATAAACCCTGTCTTCTACAGCCAGAGTGAAACTCCTCATTTGTGAACATTCCAGGAATTTCCTCCAGTTTGTTTATGCATTTTTTCCCTCCCATATTTTTTCTTCTAACTGGTTGCTGCATTTTTAGGCTGGGAAGGTTGAGCTGGTGCTGCATTACAGGTACAGAGGAGAGAGGACAGTGAGAGTGAAGGTGGAGGGTGGTGTGACTTTTCACCTGTTCTGAGATGTGGAGGTGAGTTATTGGCACCCAGTCAAGCACATCCTGGGCTTGGGAATTCCCAAATGAGGCCACATACTCAGGAAAGTTTTGGCCCTTCAGTACATCCAGGAGGGTCTGAGCCAAAGGCTGGCATTTCATAGCTGCTGTAATTCTTCCAGAAAACAAAACAAAACAAAAAAGAGATGAGTTACAGCAAAATCCATTGGTTTGGCACAGGCATCATTTCTCCTGCTCCATGCTCTGTTCAAGCCTTCTGGCTACAGTTGCTAATGCCACAGTCTTTTCAAGAGAAAGACCATTGTTAATTAAATGCCATTTTTTAGAATTAAATACTCCATTCCCAATACTCCTCCAGCTGTAGGAACAGCCAGGACCTGAACAGAGCCTGAGGGAAAAGGTTGTCAGAGGGTTAAAAGGACTAAATTAAAAATAAAGATTAGTTCTTACCGTAACTTACAGCCTGAGATCATGTTATAACCAAATAACACGGGGGCTCTGGCTCCCTGTGCTGCCAGGCAGTCCTGGGTGGATGTGCTCTGCAGGATGGAGAGCTGGCTGGGTTTGTTGGTGCTCTGAGTGATGCCAGATGTAACACACAGTTAAAGGGAAATTCAGCACTTTGTGTGTTTCAGGACAAAAAAAGAATCCTTAATCATATCCTTAAAATACATCTGAAAGTGCTGTAATAGCTCCAGACTCCTCTCACAGTGTGAAGCACCAGGGTGTGCAATGAAGGTCTAAATCCACTCACTACACAGTCCCAGGAGATTGCAGTCAGGACTGAGTCATTCCCTTCTAAAACACAGCCAGAAACCCACTCTTTTATACAGATATATTTTACAGATGTCCAGGCTAGAAAGGGTTTGTGAAGATGGACCAGAACAAGTGCTGCAAACAGAAATTCAGCAGGGAAAGGATATCCTTGAGGCCAGAATCCTGCTCTCACAGGCAGCCCGACAATGTAACCAGGATTGCCACTGAGAGGAACTGGCTTTGTGTCTACCTGCAATGCAAACACACAGGATTAGATCTTACCCTGCACTGAAAGGGCTGGGAAACACAGAAATATTTCAGTTATTTTAGGACTATTTATTGCCTGGAATGATGAGTAGTAAGGCTGTAAGTCAGACTTTGCTTTCTCTGGATACAGAGCCACAAGATGGGGCTTGTAAATGTGACACTTTGGAGGCCTTTACTGCCCAGCTCTGAAATGCTGCCTCCTCTGTGTATCCAGGGCAAGTCATACTTTACTTTGCTGCTCACAATTGTTCTGATTCAAGTTTAATAAGTTTTGTAATTAAATGTCTCTCAACAAGTCACCCATGACATCTCCACAGTTACCTGAGTGAAGCTGATTTGGAAGCTCTGCTGGATTGAAAGTGCTTCTTTGGTAATTGCCCCCAAGACAAAAGCAGCAGCTGCTTCTATTATTTCTCCTGTGTCTGTGTAGGTAATGTGATAACTCACCTGAAAATTAAACATTTTAGATGTTCATTTGAATAAATGCATAAGAGAAACTAGGGGGGAAAAAAATGAAGCTAAAATTATTCAAGTGTTTTATTTCTTCCTTGCTTAAGAAACTCTGAACTACAGAGTGGGGATATATTATATCCTCTAGAGCTTCTTCAAAACTGACTTCTTTAAGCATAAACACAATGTTCATCTACTTCAGATTACAAAATGAGATGATGTGCAACATCTATTCCTCTCTCTGTGCCATCAGTGTGCCTGAAATCATCTTCTACCAAGCATAAAGCAGATTCTACACTCATGTTATTGTCTGTTTTGTCATATACACACAGTAATGACAGACAAGGATTTCAACCTTTCAAGGATTTCTCCTTGAAATGTTGCATATAGTTATTATTTTGTTGCAAAACACTCTCTTTTATCCCAAACTTGGTGTCTCTCCTGTGACATTTGCTTTGGGGATGTCACAATCCATGGGAACTTCAAGGCCTTCCTGACAGCTTTGCAATTTGTGCATCAGAAGTGATTTGCTGCAGAGATTCCTCCCATCAAACACCAACAAGGGCTGTCAGACCTACCCCAAGGACTATATTTAAGCACAGTTCATCCAAAATCATGGGGAGCCTCGGGACATCAGCACCCTTCAGTAAAGTCCTCATTCCATCCAGGGACTGGACAACTATGGACTGGACAGAAATATTAACCTGGAAAACAAACTCAGGTCAGTTCTGAATGTGAGTATAATTAATTTTGGCTCTTTCTGTGTTATTGTATTCATGACCCTTCCTGGTTCTGTCCCACAGTCAGTAATTCTCTAAACAATTACTGTGTTGCACATACTGCAGAAGGTCAACCAAAGGGTCTATTTTTAAGTAAATAAAGAGATTCACTTAAAAAGAGAAAGTTTTATATGAGGGGAATATATCAGGCTTGAATGTTTGCAGGCAGTATATTATCTTGCTGTTGCTGAGTACCATTACTGATGGCAAATTATATTTTTTTTTTACTGTAAATATTAAGGATTAAGTCCCTGTTCTGATCAAGTCAGTCAAAAACTTCCAGTGACTATAACTAAGAATTTTGCCCCCAGCTCTCCCAGCTAATTTAGAAGGGTTCTTACCATCTGACTTGATTTGGGCACCTAGGGAAGAATAAAAGGACAAATTAAAACAATAGCAAAGGTAAGACCTATCACAGTAGCAGTTAATCAAAGCAGGTAAGGCTTAACTCCTTTGCCTATTTAACTCCCTCATTACAATAACTTTCACACTGTGGAAGTGATTGGATACACTCCACAGTATCCAGAGGTAGGAAAAGAACTGCTGTTCTCTGTGGCCAGTGGGAAAAATCTTATAATCCAATCCCCTCCTTCCTCTGAGTCCTGGAACTACTCACAGACCTCCAGTTTAGGAAGTTGGCCAGGCTGTGCTTCCCAAAGAAATGAAGAGCTTTTGTTGTCCTGTTCTGATGGTGAGAATTCCATAGTTGCATGCTCTTTAAACCAAAAAATGAGAAGCAAGTCTCCCTTTTGTTATACAGCACGAAAATTTCCACCAATATTTCATGGAAAAGCAGAAGTATTGGACCAAGGTCATCAGTCAGGCCTGAAAAATACCCTCATAAAGCACCACTTCATCAAATTTCACTTTTCTGATTTTCCAATGAGTGTTTGAGTCACATCTTTGGGACAGGACCAAGAGCTGGACTCTGACCATGAAGCAATTGTGCAGAATTCTGATGGGATACAGAGAGCAGTGACTCATCCAGGAACACATTCCCAAGAGCTGGAGCTCTGGAGGTGATGCAGGCAGAGTCTGTCCCATATTTATCATCCCAGGGTACAGCTCAGCCATCAGAACCAGCTCAGTGAATAAAGGTGCTTGTAAAGATTAGATTTGTCCTTCAGGGCATCACTATTCCTGACTAGGGAAGAGGGAATGAGCACCATTCCTGGAATTGTGTTTATCCATGACTGGGGTGATGGATCATGGCTCTGTAGGTCGCTAGCACAGCCTCCCTGTGCCTCCCACTGACTCTGCTTCCCACCTGGAAGGGAGGAGAGGGAGGGCAGGAGCAGCTCTTTGCTTTGGCAGCTCCAAGTACCCACTGACTGTGGTGGGAAGCATCTTGGTAGAGGATTCCAAGAACCACCCCCCACTGGGATCTGCTGGACAGGCCAGGGTAGAGAGAATCTGGTTAAACAAATTAACTGCAACAATTACCAAGACATTCCTCCCACTCCAGCTGTCCCTCCCGGCAGCGAGGACGGGGCTTTCTGAAGGCCCCACTGTCCCAGTGCTCCCAGTAAGGCTCCCTGGCTTACTGGTTTGCCGTTTCTTTGGCCAGCAGCTCCACCTGCTGGCACTGGCAGGGCTCCTGCTCTGCCCTGTGGCCACACTGTCCCCAGTACCACCATCTTCTGATGTCACATCCCACCCTCAGCTCCATTTGGGAAGGGGATCTCCCTACAGAGCGACTCCAGCATTTATTCAGTCTTGTTCAGTTCCTGCATCTGATCCTTCCTGACACCCACTGACCTCTCCTGAGCTGGGCCACTCTCTTGGCAAGCACCATATGGCTGTTATTCCTCCCTGTTCCACTGAGGAAGGGGAATTCATCTTCAAATTCCAAAGCACTCCACTGCTGGAGCCTGACCTGGCCATCCTCGTTCTCTCCTGGTCCTGCAGCCAAGGAGAACTCTAATTTTGGGAGGACATGGAAACACTCAAAGCCCTTCTGAGGCAGTTTTTTCCACTTCTTCCCCAGCAGGTTGATCAAAAGCCAACATCTGTGAGCAATCCCTGCCTGATTCCAACAAGGTTCTCAATGAGCAGGAGAATGATCCCACCTGTGAAAGTGGCTTTCCTTTCCTGTTGGCACCTTTGGAATCTGTAAGGAGACTGGAAGGGGTCTTTAAGCAGTCACTCACTGCTAATTAAATCAATTTAAATAATCACATAGATTAAAAACACCTTAATGGTGGAGAGGATGCTGTTTCTTGAAGAGTTTCAGCTTCTGGAAGGAGCCATCGGGTCAAGGTCTGATGGGCTTCAGGTTCAATTTTACAGGAGTGATTTCTTTGTCTTCCTGAATATCCTCAAAGGGGATTTATTTATACATGAGACATCATCCTCCAGGTCAAAAAGGGAGGGAAAAGCAGGCTTAGCTTTGAAAAATAACCACAGACTGGATGTGGTAGTTGGCAGATCCAAACAAATTTGCTGTCAGTGGGGTAAAAGTCATGTTCTTTGAGGAGCATAAGGGAGGTTTAGCATAGTGTGCCATCAAAAGTGAGGCTTGGGGGAAAGGGACAGATGCAGAGGATTAAACCTTAGTTTTACCAGCTCTTTAAAACTCAGATTTCTTGGAATTATGCACTCTGGTAACAGGCTTCTTGGAAAAGCCTGAACATGCACAAAAGCATGAAAGTGCAGCAAGCACTGGTTCAGGGAGCTTGTCTCTTCAAAACTATTATTTTGTATTTCATCTTTGACTATATTATTTATATTTGGCTAAGCAGAGAACAGAAAATTATTCTGTTACCAAAGCTTGAAGTAAAAACATTCCCAAAGGCTTTCTGTATAAAAGTCTGTTGTATAGGGAGATGTTTTTTTCCCAACCCACAATTTAAAAATCCAAATAAAACACCACATCCTTTAGTAAATAGACATTACTTAATTCTGCAGATTCAAAAAGATCTGTAATATCAACAGGCAGCTGTACAACTGTTTCAAATCATACTTACTGCCAAAATGCTGGAGTTGATGTAGAACAGCATATTAAGTGCTTGAATGCTTTCACATTTTTCCACACTTACAGATCTGATGCATTTTGTGGCCTGGTTTACTAAAAACCCTGAAAAAAAAGTCCAAGTATTAAAGGGAATTAAAGAGTAATTATGAAAAGCAGAAATAAATAACATTATAAGAATCTTAAGTACAAGCAAAAGTGAAAGTAAATGTCATCTCTACTGTAGATAAGGATACAAAGAATGATACTTTCTTATATTCTCACAAAATGGTATGAGATAAAATATTCCTTCTTAACAAGCAGTTGAAGCTTCATAAAAGCTAGAAAAAGATTTATTCCTTCATTTTTGAGATCCCATAAGGTTTTTTGTTTCACAAGAGACCTCAGCTCTCCTCCAGTCACCACCAGGAGTGTTGTGAGACCCCACTGACAGTGGGGTTTGGGAAATGCAGGTGTGGGTTTGCTCGTGGGTTTTATTTTTCTTTTCCTGCCTCTGCAGATTTTGAGGAAACTGTGTGAAGGGTTAAAATGTAGAGCTCCAGCCTGCAAGTGGGACTTGAGAAAGGGACCTCAGTGTACAAAGGGACAGCTGGCAAAGGCTGCAATACCCTGTTCCCTCATGGGGTCACCCTTGTGCTGTTTGATTAAACCAATTAGGCCAAATAGGGTGTTTTATTGGTGGACAAACAGCCCATCAACAAGATGCTCTGGGGTTTACTTGGAATGTTCAACAGAGATGCAAAACAATTTCCATTCTATGTCTAAAAACCACAGAGAAACAGAAGCTATTTTCAAATAATTTGCTCGTTTTATCTGGATTTACATTGAGGGGTGTGCCACCTTTCTGCCTGACGAATCTCAAGCCAGAGAAGGATCCTCTAAAGAAAATAAAATGAAATTCAAATGTGTTTTCCAACCTGCAGGATTGGCATCAGAGCACCAGGAGGAGACAACAGGACTTGGCAGTTTCAGAAATGCATCCTCTGTCTGTACAGGAACCCCATACTGCCAAAAAAACCACAGATTCGGGGACACAGGTGTGTTTCAGCCCATCAGAGTTTTACAGCATTTCCATTAACAGTAAATATGAATAGAAGAAGTGCTTATTTCCACTGTATCTGTCAATAATTTATACTATTTTGTGCATCAGTTTTTAAGCTACTGCTACAGCAAAAGAAAGCTACTTAAATTTCAAAGTCCTTAAAAATCTAGTTCTCTTTCTCAGTTAACACAAAACACTACACTTCTGCTTTTTACATGTCCATATTTAAAGACCAATATAAATTTTGTCTCTTCCAGAAGAACTGTACTATTTAAAAGCAGATGCAAACAATGCTGACTTGTTCTTTTATGGAACAATCTAATACTTATTGAATCAGATAATTATTTACCTCATATCTCTGAGTTTCATTTGCATCAGGAGGGTCTGGAGCATCTGTGTCCATATTCCAGCTCTCAGGCTCAGCACTGAAAGCAGCACTCCCAAACTCATTAAGCAAATCATCAAAATTTTCTGGAGTTGGCATTTCAGGGGACCTGAGGTAAAGTGCTTGTTTATCTGCCCAAACATTTAAAAAATGAGATAGCTTTTAGGATGTAAAGGACACAGAAACAGTATTTAGTAACCATTTCTCCTTCTGGAGTGGTTAAAAACTCTGTGATAGAAAAATACCAATGCAGCTTAATCTTTAAGAGAAAACCTAAACAGGATCTTAATTCATCTCACCCAGATGCATGAAAGCACAAATTTTATCATAAGGAAAGTCCCTGGCTTTCAAAATCCTGGTTTCTAACAGCAGAATTTCCAAACCACACATGTCAATTAGTGTCTGCAGTCTCCATGCTAAATATTGAGGTGATTACTGCACAGTCATAATTAAATTAAGAGGACATGGTGCTGATCACTTTTAACTGCCCTGCAAGTCACTTCAAACTTGGGCATAAAGGATTTGTACCACAGATTTGGATCAGATTGGGAAGTCACTTTTCCATGAGACAATTTTAAATTTGATTTATAGGAGATGATAATTTTTTTTTTTAAAAAAGGCACCCAAAACTGTATGTTTTTTTTTCCAACAGAGACGAGTTAAATGTATGAGATGTTTTAAGTCCATGGTTTCACAAGTGAAAGGATCACAACACAAGGACTGTGAGCAGGCAGAATCACCAGTTTTCTGAGAGGTTTAATAAAATAGAAACAGTTTTAAATTTAGTCTCTTTCCGGTGCCTCAAGAGCTTACAAAAATAACACCACAATGTTTAATAGTGGCAACAACTCTACTTACAGTTTGTAGCATGAATGCAGAAAATACTGGGGTTGACTTGGTCAATTAATTGAAATATCCTTTCTGGTGGGTCTGCTCCAACATCAAGAGAATATACAGCAGCTTTCTGCCTGCACAGGTGGCTGTCACCTCTGCAAGCAAGGATAATAAATGAATGATCCACTAGAAGTTAGTGTTGACCAGATTTTAAAGTTCTTTCCACGTACTGAAGCAGCATCACAAAAAAAAAAAAAACCATAAGATTACTGTTTTAACACAATTTGTATAATTGTGCAGCCTTAGAAGGCTCCTGTTGTTTTATACTCTGTGCTTAGTAATAAATAACACAGAATTTTTCCACATGTAGTGTTTAGCAGAGAAAACTGTGAGCAGCAGCATGAAGGAAGGTAAGAAACAGGGAAGAACCTGCCAGGGATAATATTGGAGCTAAAATGACAAATGGTATGGGATCCAGATGGTTGAGGCACCCTCTTCCTTGGGATCAGCCAAATTAAATAAATATACAAATATATATAAACCCAGATGTAAATAATGAGATGCACAATACTTGCAGACATTAAAAAAGCCCCTGGATTTTCAGGCAAAAGGAACATTTCACACAAAAAGAATTTGGGGAAAGAAACACAACTTCATTTTAGGCATTTCTAGTTGACAAAGAGAGAACAGTCACTCCAGGCAATTAAAGTGTCACTCAGGAAGGTGTTGATTAGACCTTTCTGATATATAAATATCTCTAAATGGGTGGCAGGAGTCATTGTGTGCAAGAACAATAAGAAACCACAGTCTGGCATGATTGCTAATTCAAATTTCAAAGCACCAAGAATAAACCCCAGTGCTCAGATTGGCATAATTTATACAGAAGGTGGGCTGAAAAGCTGCACTTATTGTTCTCAGAGTTCACCAAGAGATCTTTTTTTTTTCCATTAGGATTTTGAAGTGAGCTTTCTGAACTCCTTTTTGAGAGGAAGAAATGAGATGAAGGGGTTTTTAGAGCAACTAAACAGCAAAGAAACAACTATTGGCTCTAATTTATTGGTATAATGTTAAATTTTAGTGGTGTTGAAGTGACAGACTGGCAGGGAGGCAGCAGGTTGGGATGGTGACTTTAAGACCAGAACAGTGCTCACACTACTTCAAAAAGCTCTGAAATGATCAAGTTTTTAGCTGATATCAAAAATGTAATCAAAGATGTTGCTGATTAATTGCTAATGACCTACAGAGGTGGTCAGATGGTACCATTTTCCTTACCTTCCAGGCACTTCATTATATTAATGGAAGTCTAAAGATACATCATTTTCCCCTCTAAAAAAGCATCACCACCTGAGTGTCCACAGACAGGAGCACAGGAGGAAAGGAAAAGGGAAAGAGAAATGGGTGTTTATACACAAAGAGCATTGATTGCATCCAGAGAATGGTTCTAGTACCAATAACTACGTGCTATTTTATGGCAGCACCTGGTAGTTGAAGGTCATTGGAAATTTTTAGGAGGGGAATGAGAACCTGCAGCATTCAGGATGCATGCACTTGGGAAATTGTGAAATACAACCATATATTTAGCAACTGCTGAAAGTTAGTGAAGAGATCTCTCAAATAATTTGAAAGAAATATGTCTACAGACTTCTCATTTAATGATTTTAAAATAAGGGAGCTTGTTTAAGTATTGAGGCCAAAGGTTTCCAGGCCCAGGGCAGGAAGATCTGGAGAAAGTGGAGTTAGGATGGCAGCAGGGAGGGGCTGGGAATTGGTGAGAGGAGAGGGCAGAGCCCTGATTTTGTGTTTTAGTGTTATTTATCCACTCACGTGACCACAGGGACTGAACAGGCAGTGAAGAGGCTGAACTCCTCGGGGCTGCAGTCGGGGTCACAGCAGCAGTTGACATCACACTGTGCCACCAGCAGGTCACACACACACAGCCTGGCAACTGCAGAGAGATGAAATCAGAACTGGGGCTGGGATTTCACACCTCCCAGCCTGTCCCAGAACACCCTCACTCTTCACCTCCACTTGGTTCTGACAACGGGCAAATCCAAACTCACCTGCTCTTTTTTGAAGGCATTTTTAAAAGCCATCCTTTGAAAAAGTCTATTTGGGGCACATGGACAAACTGAGACACTAAAATCTGACAGTGAGAAATAAAAAAACCAACCTAACAGGAATTTTGAAGGCATGAAAATATACTCAGCCCTGCAGATGTCAAAAAAAAAGAGAGATACAAACAAGAAGGTGTTAATTTTGTTTTACTGGGAAGAAATATAAAACATTTTGAAAGAGTGAGATGTTTATAAGCATTGAGCAGTAAAACACTTCCCTGATGTGCCAACATAACAAGAGTTGACTTCTTTGAAACTGTTTTTTCTCTCTGTCTTTAGCTGCTGTGAAATATTGTAATCACAGAGAGAGGAATTGTTGATAATTCTGTAAACTGGCCCCATAAAATGTTTGGTAACTTAAAACAGTCTTAGGTTTTCAAGTTTATAAATGCAAAGAACAGATATTACTCTACTGAACTGTTTTGAGAGTTGTTCTATAATAAATCTTGACAAAAGAACAGCACAGAATGAGGAAAATTAAGCTCAGTGTTTTATAGGCAAGGCATTCAAAGGGTATTTTCATAATTAATTCTTTTATTTCAGTTAGACTGTTGTCTGTTTCTCTACGGCTTCCTAAGTGTTCTCTGACCACCTGAACAGTATCCAGGTATTTCCTGGAATCTCTGAAGTTCTCCCTGTTCTGCTGGCTGAGTTTACCCCTGGAATCCTTAGTTCACCCCGTGAACAAGAGCATTTTAAACATGAACGATTAGATTGCAAGGTTATGTCTCCCAGATTAGGGATTTAAGTCTCTTTTCCCTAAGGAGGGAGCACTGGGACAGGTTTCATTTGGCAACTAATCCATAGAAATCTGAACTGATGGAAATAAGAAGTTAAATTAAAATGTAGCCAATAAGACAGTGGGAAACACCTTCTGAGAGCACAGTAACAACACTTTATTTACATATTGGTATGACAATGTATCCGCAGCACTGGGGCTGAATGAGGAATCTGGGGGCAAAGTGGGCACGTGGAGCTCTCCAAGGAGATCCAGGGGAGCCTCTGCGGGGTCAGACCCTGCGCGGGGAGCGGGGGAGGGCTCAGAGCAGGGGCTGGAGGGGCAGGAGACCCTGCCCTGCACCCGCGGGCACACGCAGGGCTGGGTGACGGTCAGATATGTGACGGACACATCTTGCTGCAGCAACCCCCAGAGATGCCCAGGGAGAAGCCG